TCGCTCACGAGAAAATAAAACTCACCGAAACTGAAGACGATGATATGAAACGTCGTATCGAGGAGAGAATAAAAAACTTGGAAGACGAGAGACGGACTCGGTTGGAATCCGCTTCCTCGAACCGGGAAGCCCTCCGATCGCAGATCAGTCGAGTACGGGAAACCATCGATCGAGTTCTAAATGAAGACACCACGCTAGCTGACAGGATTCGGACCCTGTTCCGGGAGCAAGGGATCACCATCGCCAGCATTCTGACTGCATTGGGCTTCATCATATCAACCCTGGTGGTGTCACTGACGCCTGCCGGCGGCGGTGGTACACCCACGCCTGCACCAAGTGGTGGGGGTGTCAAAGACTGGAAAAAAACTCGGGGAAGCCCTGGCTAAACTGGCTGGTAAGGCCGCCGAAGCCCTGCCTGGCATCCTGGGTAGCATCGTCTCGTGGTTGCTGAGCGCTCTGGCTAAAACTGCCACGTGGCTTAGTCAAAACCTGTGGGCAGCCGTCGTAGCCGTGGTGGGTTTGGTGTACGTAGCGGCTAAAGAATTTTTAACCAAATGAGCCCCAACCCGACAGCGACCCCGCCAACCACCAGGGCTGTTTTACGATCAATGTGCTGCTGATTAGACGCTGCAGGCTGGGGTTGTGGGGGTGACCCCACAGGGGGTATTGGTTGAGCCCTAGGCTCCGGGGGTGGCGCCACTATACCCGTTTCACCGGTCGTGGGTGACGGGACGTGGGGGACGTTGACATCGAGGTTGACGCCCAACTTTTGACCCGCCGTGGCTATGACTAATTCGTTGTTGTAGCCCACCACTTTTTTTACTCTCAGTTGCATATCGCTCGGAGCCATGTACTGTCCCACGTCGAACACGTAGTCGACTTTCGACCTGGCGTATTCCAACACGTCTTGGTAGCGTTTGATGGCACTCGGGAGATCAACTGGAGCATTGATAGCATCCTCAACGTTGACAACGAACTGTTTCTGAGCGTCGTAAGCAGTCCCCTTGCCTAGGATATTGGAACGCGTTTGCGTCTGCGCACCCAACAGCGCCCACACGTACGTTCGAATCGAGTCGTTTAACCTGATTACCCCAGCACGAGTAAACCCTTTCAATGTGTCCAGCATGAACTTTTTCCAGTCATCCGCTGCCCCCTGCTCAAACCTCCAGACTCGGTAATCCTTGCTGTCGTCGAATGCCATGTAACGGTCATCCCACTCGTTTGTTGTGATATGATATGACTTGTAATCCCATTCTTTCAACTTCTCGCTGGCTTCCACGAGGGGCATATTGTGAAAGATGGGGATACCCAACCCGTGGTTCGGTCCCGGCAAACGCCAATCCGTCTTCGTGTTTAGTTCGAATTCGTTGCAAATACGTTCGTAGGCCCGTCTATCGTACTGGTTGTTGACTGCATTCCACGCCTTTTCCTGTGGGAGCGGGGCGCTGATCTCTTTGAGGATACGCCTGACCTGGTAGTATAACGTGGAACGTGAACACAGACTGACTCAGTGGGCCACGTCGAGTGTCGGTCAATGTCACACCACACCCCGTTGTAGCGCACCACACGGCGAAGTTGAGTTGATTCTGCCAGAACTGCATCGGGTTGTTGAACCAAGCGTGAACTACCTTAGCGTTAGTCACCGAAAATTTATACTTGTGGAACACATCTATAAACTGGGCGTCGAAATACAACCCGGCAGCGACCACGATCTTCATGTGGAGGAAATCTACGTTCAGTTTAGGGTAAAACACACCAGGGGAGTACATTTTAAAACTATTATATAATGAGTTTATATACTCTAACATGTACATAACACTTCCAGGAATAACGAGCGGTGAGGCCGTTCAGTTGACGCACGCGATCGATAATACGTCGGGTCAACTCGAAGTCGCACTGTGCGATATCACCTACCTACCACGATGGACTAACATCAACGCTAGCAACAATAAGCTGATCGTAGGTGGCGTCCGCAATCAGATAATTGACGGCTACTACACGTGTGTTCATTAAGCGACGAGGTCTTCAAACCCTTGGGAGCCGAACTCAAGATGAACGACTCAAACGGCACAGTGGTGTTAATCAACAACGGAAGTACCTCCTTAAGACTCAGCCGGCCATTGGCGAGGACACTCGGTATATCACCTGACGAGATAAAACCAACGACTACCGCCACAGGCACGAAGTTACCCGACCTAGTACCGTACCGGGAGCTGTGCATTCATCTCAGTCAGGTGAGCACAACGGACAACATTCAAGGGGGTCACCCTTCCACTATACTGAGAGCCGTACCGGTGAAAACGGAGAAATACAACGACGGTAGAACCGAGTCGTTTTCACCGCGGCAGTATAAGAGGTTAACCCAGGGCAACATCCCTGAGTTGATAATATCGGTGTTAGATATAAATCATAATCTCGTGAATATAGGATACCTCAGCGTAACCCTGCACATAAAATGACCAGCGCACAAGGTCCCGGAATGAATTTGAAAAAATGCATCAATGTGGGGATCTCCGACCTCGGGGACACACGCGGATTCGACGACCCCGGAGTAGATGGTAAAGTGTACGCCTTGCAACTTAAAAACAGCATTTACAAACGCGTTGAAGTCCCCTCCAATGGTACTAGCAACCTAAGTGATATAGTAGATACCACAAGAGCGGCAGTCAACACTAAGTACACCCTTGTCAACACCGGTGATGATAACTGGATAATATACCCATCGTTTGGGGGCAAACTATTCGACTTAACCGATGTTGAGAGCACTACCGTCGCCCGAAACAAACCATATACACTCGTCTTCACCGATGAAGACAAGTGGGTGTTATTACCCGATAAAAGCCGACTGGTTTCTCAATATTAGGCTCGGCTCCCCTCGTGGTTTACGGATAACAAAGACAACCACCTAAACAAAGTCGAACAACGGAACCCTGCTCGTTGCTTACGTCCCACTCAGAGACGTAGCGTAGTCATCAGCCCACTCGCCAGTATGGCAGCCCACATGCTATCGAGTAAAGCGGGCATGCAAAACGTGGTATTGCAGTTGGTGTCTGAATCGAAGGCGTGGTCAAGATCCTGGATAGTCTACCGGCGAACTCAACACTGATCATCCAAGTCTACCTAGGGGAACCATCGTGGGATGATGTAGAGATCGTGAAGGGGGTCAAACTGCGGTGGGGAAAAAAACACCAGTATAACGTTTGCACCGTTCTGCGCATGCGGGTGGGTGTCGACTCAAAAACCAGTCTGCAGGGTGTCACCGTGGTCGTGGAAGACATTATATCACTAACCAAGATCTTCCTACCCGACAACATACACTTCATGGGGGTGCACTTCACCCCTGAACTATTATCAGAAAACCAGTTGGAAATTATCTCGTAATAGTATTATAGCAATGATTAGGCACCACCCCAACGCTACGCTTAACGACCTAGGGGACACGGAGGGGATTCGATCAGCCTGGTGAGGAAGACGCCTTGTACATCCTACACTTGAAAGACAACGTGTATAGGCGGGCGGCAATAGCCGATCATCTACCCAAACCCACACTCAGGGGCTTAGGAGACATAGAGGGATTCGATAAGCGTGGCCATAACAACACCTCATACGTCCTATTATTTAACAACGGTGTATACATACGTCAGAACCTGGTATTCTTTAAAGAACCTAAATGGGTGATCAACGTGACCACCACCGCACCTTATATCTCACTAGACAAAGATGGTTATGTCTCTGAAATTAGGAACAACGGCACCTTGCTCACGTCTTTCATTCCAACTGGAAGGATGATAGTTTCTAACTCCCCATATTGGCCTAGGGACACCCTATTAATTTCATCCAGGCAGTCCCAGTTAATAGCCACCCACCATCATCATACCATAGTAGGGGTTAGGGCTATGGAACCAAACTCCACACTCATCGTAGAAGTCGCTTACAAGGGTAAGTTTGATTCGGACGACTTTGACCCATCCCCAAACTTGGAACTTTTACCTGGTGTAACAATACGTTGGGGTGACGCCTTTATAGGAGAAGGTTTCTTATCTTGCAAATTCGTTATACGATTGGGGAACCCCCAACAGGGATTACTACCCCCCATAATAAACTGCTTTGATGTTGAGATAGACCAGAAGTTATCTATTGACCCTTCGCGTATCTACACATACGCGAATCTAAGTTTTATAAGCCTCAGGTACGTTGGCCAACTATTAACTGAAGCCCAATTAGAATATCTTTCGTAATATATATTATAGGATGGGGTTGTACCCAGGCATAGATGAAGTAGTGAAGACCCTGGAAACCGTAGACGGGTTCCGCTTGAGGCAGTTATGTGATGTAAAACGGCAACTAGAACAAGACCGCGACAAGCGGAAAGCACTATATAAGAAGTACCATAGAGCTTTCAATGCCGTGGACGGTGTTGATACCACCCTTTTGACAACCAGCATGGGGCTAGGGGTGGCAGGTGTTGGGTTGTTAGCTACCATCGTGGCAGCACCTATAGTGATGGGGCTCGAAATAACAGCTGGGGTGACAGGGGTGTTGGGGGTGGTGCTTAAGCTTGTATCCCGCAGACTACATCGTAAAGCATTGAAGCATGATGAGATCAGGGTTCTAGCTGAAGCAAAGCTTAACACCATAAGCGATCTTATTTCTACCGCACTCACTGACAACAAGATCTCAGAGGAGGAGTTTCGTTTGATCCTCTCTGAACTCACAAAATATGACAAAATGAAACAAGATATTCGATCCAAGTCTCGTAAGTCTGCTATAAGCGAGGATGAGAAAAATAAGTACATAGAACAAGGGGTGAAAAAAGCCCAGCAAGCCTTCATTACGAACACCAAAGAGATCATAGGCGATTCACATTAAACTGTTTCATCGATGTCAACGTGACATAGCGGCACGTGGACATAGATAAAATGAAAATAAAATCAGGTGAACCTACCTTGTACTACTTGATGGGCCAGACAGAGGACTATTGATCCTGTCAACAGCATGTGATGCGTGGGTGCGTGATACAATACCCGTTAAACTGACCTACTTCAGCTAAGTCCGCGGTAGCTCAGTCGGTTGAGTGGTGCGACCCCATTATGTATAGTCTGCGCAAGCTGTACATGTGGGTTCGTATCCCATCGTCGCAACTTTGTGTGATGTGAGGTTCTCTCACGGTGAGAGACACAATTCCGCTTGGGAGGAAGCGCAATACATTTCTATTTCTCCCTTGGGGAATTGTGGCTGCCGGGGACATTTTACTAGTAGGGGTAATGGTAGCAAGAGCTAAGGGTCCGACCAAAGCCTTATTTGGGAAATAAGGCTTTGCAGAGGCTTTTGTTGGACTTGGTCCAGGACAATCATTTCCTCTACTACTACCTCTGATTGCCAAGTAATGTGTTAATGGTTATATTTTAAATAATTGAAACAAATGCAGCGAGTAAAATGTTGTGTTGATGTGCCACAAGGGCTTATTGTCAGAAACTCAACAGTTAACTCAACAAAAGCATCAATGCCGTTTTTAGCTTCAAGGCTCAATTCAAAAGAGATTACTGCACCGACATTGCTTCCTGGCATATCATGCACAGGCGGCAATACAGTATATATTCTGTTACCACATGTCATAGCAGTAAATATCTAACATATTACCATTATTGTATAATTTTCATATCTACAGATGAAAAGCAAAACGACCCTGAGGAATCTCCACAACATAAAGTTGACAAGCAGGAAACATTTGTCAACAGCCCACTTCACGAGGCCTGCAGGAAGGGGGACCTGAACCGAATGATACGAATCCTGTCCAAGGGTTTGGTCGACATCAACAGCAGAGACGAGAAGCACGGAAGAACACCACTCATGGTGGCAGCAAAGGAGGGACATTGCAGAATGTTTAAAAATCTTATGTTTAAAGAAGCTAAAATGTCAGAAGTTGATAATGATTGTAAGAACGCCCTGCACTGGGCATGCGAGGGCGGACATGCGGGTATGGTGGAGTGTGTACTCCAACAATACCGTATTAACATCAATGCTAGGGGTATGCACCCCTTGATGCAGGCTGCACATGGGGGATACAGAGACGTTGTGGAGTTTCTCGTGTGTACCGGAAGTAATGTGTCCCAAGTTGATGACGAAGGCAACAACGTCCTGCACTTTGCCTGCCGTGGTGGACAGTTGGATATAGTGAAGTATCTAGTTTCACAAGGCAGTGTTGATATTAACAGTAGTAATAAACACGGTAAGACCCCTTTGATGATAGCTGCAATGCACGGATACAAAGACGTCTTTGAGTTCCTCGTGAAAATGGGAGCTAATGTGTCACACGTGGATAATGACGGAGACAACATCCTTCATCTGGCCTCTTCACGTGGACGTGTGGAGATGGTGAAGCACATCCTGTCCCAGAACCTGGTCGACGTTAACGCCAGGAACAAGGGTGGGAAAACGGCAGCCATGATAGCAAAGCGTGTATAAGCCTCTTGTTTCCAGGGGTTGTCCAGTGAAATAGGTGTAGCTTGTGGGTTGATGTAACGCACCATGGTATGTTGGCGGTTATCAGTAGTAGAATGTGACGTATCGGTGCAGTTTATGACAAGCAGGTAAAAGACATTGGTGATTATTGTCACGAACAACTCCATAACCGTTCAATATCTTTCAACTAAACGTGAAAGGCAGTCTGCCTGTACTTAGGCTATTTTTGCTAGCTAAATTTCCTTCCTGTTTTCCTTCCTTAGAAGGCAAGAAGTTCAATTCTACTCCTATCAGCGAGTTTGACGGGACCATCACTCTAAAATTATACTCTCCCAAAAACAGAAACGCGCAGGTGATATTGATGTATGGAATTTAAATTTACCATTGAAATATTTGATTGTTATAATTTCGCCATTATACTGGGGTTGTACATGGAACGAATGCACAACGTCAAAATGCATCTTCGAAACTTAATGCACGTTAATCGTTCGAAAGTTTCAACCTGCATGAAATGTTACAGAGAAAATGTTGCTCGCTATATGCACGTGTAGTTCTGAGGAAACCTGAGCAGGAAACATTGCCTATGTAAGGCATTTTTGCTTTTAGACGGTCATTGACATTTTTCAGCTAAATGAAAGAATATCGTCATAGCTTTAAATCAATTTTAGGACCGATATCAACAAACCAATTCTATTCAGGTCCGTCTTCCAAGCGATAGATCTTGGATTATCACTGCAGCCAGAATAGGTACATCCCAGTATTTCATTTGCGGAATCGAGCTGTCACAGAAACTGCAAATGCAAGGGCAGTGCCAAGTATGAGGGGTTGTGTTGGCTTAAATCATTCGTAATCGTTTACGAGCTGGACTGGAGCAAGAAGTCCGTATTTTGGCCCTATGACGGGTCCAGTTGAGCAATAACGTTCGATTCTGGAATATATAAAACATGCTACGTGTATTGTTCAGTGACAAATCACGCTCGCTGCTTCAGTGCCTTAAATGAAGAAATACCCCCGTGCTGAGCAGATGGCACACAAGTACAGACCAACCACACTCCTCTCAGGGAACAAACATTACAGTGAAACAAAAATTCCAAAGCGACTTTTTTCTGATGTAACACGAAATGCACGTGCCTACTGACGGTAAAACACACCCTACGAGACACGTGAGCTGCACAAAAGTAAAATGAACACAAAGAATATGCAACGTTTGAGGCAAATCAAGAAGTGGAGAGCCGTCGGAATGGCACAACAAGGAGCTAACCACAAGGCCATTGCCAGAACCTTCGGCTGTACCCGAGCAACTGTCATCAGACTGATGCAACGACTAAGACAAACAGGCACTACGTCAGACAAACCTAGGAGTTTGACAGCGCCCGGTGATCATCGCCCCGTCCTGACAATTCATCTGAGAAATCGCTTTGTGACAGCGACGTTGCGTTGCCATTTATCCAGCAACAACAACGTAGCATTGTCTACCAACACGATAACGCACGGCATCATACAGCAAGACTGACAAACGGCTTTCTGCACAACGCTAACATCGTTTTGCGGCGGCCAGCATGTTCTCCCAACATGAATACGATAGAAAACTCATATGACTACCTGGATCGACAAATCAGATGACTACCAGCGTCACCTGTCACCGCTCAACAACTGGAGCAATTTCTCCTACAGGAATTCAATGGCTAAAACCTTACTTCATTTGTCGTCTTATGTCATCAATGTGTCGACGTGTTTGGCGTGTATTGAATCCAATGGCGGTCACACTTCTATTGATTCAACATTTGATGACCTTTTGCAGAAAAAGTTGCCTTGCTGATTTGTGTAAATGTTCAGAATATGATACCACGTGTCTTTCCGTGTCAGTAAAACGACTTTGTATGAAATGAAAATTATAATTTTGCTGTGGAATTGAATACTCTATTGAATTGAAATAGATGCTCATTTATTTATGTTTTTTCTTTTCCTTTCAGGTTTGATCAAACACACTATATACTTTCTTTTGAGCACTAATCTCTTTGGCTGGAACTTATCTAGAATTAAGTGTTATTTCCCTTTAAAGTTAGCAGAAAATATCTTGGAAATACACCTATGCGTTTCTTTTTTCGGAGAGTATAGTAGGTATTTTTTCAGCAATTGAGGCACAAAAATGAATATGTGGTGCTGCTTTCTTTATGTTTATGTTTTTTGTCTTAGACGTTCTTTGTGCAAGATGAATAGGTGAATAATACCACGCACTTTTTGTGCACTGGGTGGCGGGTATGTCGAACAGGTAACAGATATTGATCTTATCGTCATGTAATGTTAGGATGAAGAGGTAACAGACATTAATGATTATTGTAATGTTAGGTCTTAGTCGCTGTTTTAATGTGTACTGGGTTGCGGGTATCGTGCCTTGTAGGATGAATAGGTAATGTTAGAATTGTTTTGTGCAATCGTAATTAATGATTATTGTAATGTTAGTCTTGGTCGCTGTTTTAATATGCACTGGGTGACGGGTGGCGGGTATCGCGCCTTGTAGGATGAATAGGTAACAGGCCTTAATGATTTTTGTTATGTTATTCTTAGTCGTTGTTTTAGGATGAATGCATTGTGTAATATTAGGGTATCGTGCCTTGTAGGATGAATAGGTAACAGACATTAATGATTATTGTAATATTAGTTTTAGTCGTTGTTTTGTGTACTGGGTGGCGGGTATCGTGCCTTGTAGGATGAATAGGTAACAGACATTAATGATTATTGTAATATTAGTTTTAGTCGTTGTTTTGAGCACTGGGTGGCGGATATCGTGCCTTGTAGGATGAATAGGTAAAAAACATGGATGATTATTGTTATGTGATTCTTAGCTGTTGTTCTGTGCAGAGACTGGCGGGACCGTGCCTTGTCTGAGAAATAGGTAAAAGACATTGATGAATACTTGTTATGTTACTCTCAGCTGTTGTTTTGTGCAGAGGCTGGCGGGTATCACGCCTTGTATGACTAATAGGTAACAGACATTGATGAGTACTTGTAAAGTTAGTGTTAGCTGTTGTTTTGTGCAGTGCGTAGTGGGTATCCTGCCTCGTATGACGATTTGGTAACATACATTGATGGTTACTTGTTATGCAGGTCCAAGTCGTTGTTTTACAAGGAGGAAAACATACCGTGCAGTGTGTCACCTTGTATGGCGAGACTGTTTGGAGAACATCACTGATACCTATGGTTTTCTTTAAGCATGTAATATACATATTTGTTTTTTGTATGTTCAATAAAGTATTATGAAATGGGTTTTAGATAAATTTGTCTTTTCGTCCAAATGCATTTAGGGGAAGGAGTGAAAGAGTGAGTGAGGAACAGGTGAGTGGGAGGGACGCAGGGATGAGTGACTGAGTGAGTGCCCCGCCCTTAATTGGTATTAAAGGAATCACCGTCGATACCCACCACCTCCAACACTACCAATACCCACCACCTCCAACACCCACCACCTCCAACACTACCAATACCCACCACCTCCAACACCACCAATACCTACCACCTCCAACACCACCAATACCAACCACCTCCAACACCACCAATATCAACCACCTCCAACACCACCATTACCCACCACCTCGAACACCCACCACCTCCAACACACCAATACCCACCACCTCCAACACCACCAATACCCACCACCTCCAACACCCACCAGCCCAACACCCAATACCTCACACCTCCAACACTCCACACCTCACCCAACACCACTCACCAACCACCTCCAACACCACCAATATCCACCACCTCCAACACCACCAATATTACCCACCAGCTCCAACACTACTAATACCAACCACCTCCAACACCACCAATACCTACCACCTCCAACACCACCACCATTACCCACCACCAGCTCCCACACTACCAATAATACCAACCACCTCCAACACCACCAATACCTACCACCTCCAACACCACCCATTACCCACCAGCTCCAACACTACCAATACCCACCACCTCCAACACCACCAATACCCACCACCTCCAACACCACCAATACCCACAGCCTCCAACACCACCAATACCCACCACTTCCAACACCACCAATACCCACTACCTCTAACACCACCATTACCCACCAGCTCCAACACTACCAATACCAACCACCTCCAACACCACCAATACCTACCACCTCCAACACCACCAATACCCACCACCTCCAACGCCACATCACCAATGTCATCTCTTTTATCTCAGACAAGGGCATAAGATTTTTTGTGTTTCTCATTGCCCGACCGACACTAATTTTATTGCCGACCAAAAAAAAACAACTTCTTATGTTTTCATTCCAACACCGCCGACTTGAACGTAGAACGTACCGACCCGTCATATAAAATGTTACCACAAAAAAAATCAGAGTTATGACCCTTGACAACAGACCGACCATGATGTCTGCTACTCGCATAGCAGACGAAAACGCAAACAAACATCTGGTCTATTTTGAAGTATCACCTTCTCATCCCTTTTATAGTGGGAGTAGTGTTATCTTTATTTGATAACCTTTTACAATTTATGAACTCTATAAACTCATTCAAGCACAATATATTTGAGTTACATACACTGGTCTCTAATATTTGTCTTTATAGATATATATAAGGTCAGACTATACTGTTATTTCGTTGATCTCAAAGCTATATTGGATTCCATCAATAGAACGAGTTTGATGTGTAAACTTTGAACTGGCAAAGTCAAAGGTAATTCGTTTTAGATTGATTAGAAATATGTACACGAATGCTCAATAATGCATATCAATGCAAGGTGGCTACACTGTTTGACTGTGTGAACGGATAAAACAGGGTTGCCAACTATCACCATTGCTATTTTCATTGTACGTTAATGATATTGCTGAATTTCTTGGTGTTCATGAAGATAGATGCATTGACCATGATGTCTGTCGACTTTTCATGTTACTCTTCGTCGATGATATGTTACTGTTTGATAGCACTGTCCGAAGTGGTCTTTAAAATGGTCTTTAACCGTCAATATTA